AAACTAGGGACTTATTTTTAACAAACAAGTAATCTCACTGATGTTATGCTGAGACTTCTGTGCACACCAGAGTATTTGCTGGGATGAGTACACTTTGGTACTGCATACCCATGTGTGTTCTTTTGTGCTGTGTGTTGTCTATCAGACAACTAAAGAAACCATGAGCACAGGATTTATTTTCAGAATATCTTGCATACCATTATTTTATATAAAATACATATTTCAGAGTATCTCATACTCATACTCATCTCCTCTTGGGCTTCGAAGTTAACTGGAAAGAACTATGTCCCCAGTAGCCAAATCCTTTGTGCTGTACAGAAGATTATACCTGGAGCATGAAATTCTTTTCTTTCTTTTATATCTACATAACAATTAAACCTTTTTTTTCCCCCCCTCATGAGAATAGTCAGGCGAAAAACTCCAGTTCCATGTCCAGGGTTTCTGCTCTGTGTGGCTGTGTGTGTGTTTTGTACACTTCATTGTGCCAGGAATCCCAGCGTCTTAACTGCTTTTTGTGGTGGGAGGAGGTTTTGGTGAATGTCACTTTAAAATTAGTTCCTTAACCTTTCTTCTAGCACAAGCTTTAAATCATGTTGCTATATTTGTTAGTTAACATATAGCGTGATTGTTCTTTACGTTTAATTGTTTTTAGTTAATAAAGTCAGTGCTCTGTAGTCTCTTGTCAGTTAATCGCTACCCCTGTGAACTCTTGCAGGGGCAAAGGACTCAGGGTCATGGACAGAAATTTATTTAAAAAGACTATGTTGAATCTTCTACACATGAGCCAAAATATTATTTCATTTCTTTAGAAATAGGAGTTTATTTTTGTAGGTTAGGACATTTTTTTTGGTTAAGGTTAATTCATCTTTCTGCCTTTGTCCTGCTGCTACCAGTCATTTTTGCTTTGCTGCAAATGCCAGATTTGCACCCAACCTTGTTAGTAAAATAAATACAACTACTCAGAATAATGAAACATGTTAATTCAAGTGTTTATGTGGGCAGGTGTTTCCTTTTGTTTTTCCTTGTTTTAAAGGAGTGACTGACAGCACCTAACCAGAGAGCAGAGCCAAGCTTTGCTTCTAGTCTGACTGCTAATGCTGCCCTGTCAAACTAGGGGAGTGTATCCCCATGGAAGGACGTGAGGTAACAGTTAAATGTCTGTCATCTCCCTGGGCGGGAAAATACAGACATCAAGAGTGAGCCTGAAAGCTGCAGTGACTCTTGTCTGGTTTTTCTTCTCTTGACATAGGTTTTCTTGATCCTAACCTTAAAGCTTTCTCCTCGTGTTTCCATAGAAATGATTGTTTGCAGAGTGGCCCCAGCCGCCTCTCGTCTTCCCGCACGTGCCTGCTGAAACAGAGGAGCGGTCAGCTGTGTTGTGAGATAAAAGAAATGGACTTAATGCAATAAAAAAAGATTTGGAAACAGCAGTGAAAAGCAAACTAGTTCTGGATTGAGTAGAATGGAGATAAAGGCAAATTTTCTGATCTCTAAAAGAAAAAAAAAAACACATTGAAGAGGAGCTAGAAATTAGTCTGTCTGTCATTGAAACGAGCTTCTGAGTACAGAGGAGAAATCAGATAAAAATGTCAGGGCTTTTAACACTGGAAGTAGAAATGGTCAAGAGACGCTTCTCTGATGATATAATATATTTTGTGTAAAGAAACTCAAGGAAGTACCTTTCCACATAGCACACAAAATGCATTCAAAATGCAGCAAGGCCATTAGGAAATATAACGAACGAGAAATATTTCAGGGCAAAACGAGAAGGGTGCATGATTAACTGAGTTACAGATGAGTGTGTGCATTTATGCTTCATTATTTTTAAGAATAATGTGTTCTTTGATGGTATTCTTCCTCAGCCCTTCATGTGTTATTTGTGTCCTGGTAGTCTTTAAGGAGTAGAAGCAGCTCTGTGTGGTTGTACGGTGCCCAGTGGAGTCCTGACTCAATATCTGGCTGTTGCAATGTATGTACTAAATAACCTGACTCATCCAGATTCTATCTAGATTTTACATATAATGTCTGATAATACACCTAAAGAACCATTTCAGTAAGAATAAAACGATGTTAGGAGTGCTGGGAGCTTCAAATGATGCAGCTTTAATCAATAGTATTTATGTACTTAATTGTTCAGGGAGAACTTCCATTAAACTCCCAGTCTTTTTTTTCCCTTCTTTCCTTATTCAGCCTGTCTTCTCCCACACCACTTGTTCACAGCACTTCTCTCTCCCTCATAACTGGCACTGTACTTCCTCTTTTCACCATTTTTTTTTCCTGATTTGCCAATGTCATATTTGCTTTATGCAATAAAGTGCCAGATGTGTTGGCAGGCTGGTAGGAATTATTTTTATATACGATAAGGAATAGTTTAGCTTTTGTGCCCTCAAGTAGCTGCAGTGAGACAGTAGAGTCACGGTTAACTTTAGTCATCCAAGTTCCACTTAATGCAAAATGATTATAAAGCAAATTATCTTTTGCTCTTGAAGCTTTTAAAGCAAGAGGAAAATGCAAGAGATAATTTAATGTGGGGCTTGTGTTCATAGGTCAGAATAACAAGATAGTGTCTTTTTTCCAGGCTGTTAAAAATAAAAGAACAGTTGCATGTGGTAAAAACAGTATGTTCTGGACTCTGTGCCAGTAAGAAAAAAAAAAAAAGGTTAAAAAAATTTAAAAAAAGACTATTTTGCAAATTGAAAAAAAAAAAAAAAGCTTTGGTTCATGTAGCTCACTAACATTTCTTAAACAAGGCTGCAGGTGAAAGGTGTTCCATAAACAGGAATAACTCTTAAATCTAATAGTAATTCTGTGAACTAGTAAGGAAATAAGATTTTGATAGGATGTAGAATCATTTACTCAGGCTTCCTAGAATTTATTTGAAAAACTTTCAGATTTAGGCAGAGATGTTTTTACTGTGCCAGCTCTGCCCAAACTTTTATAGAACAGTTAATTTATCTTCAGGAACAGACTGTTGTTTTTCCTGATAATGTTAAACAGACTTGTGGTGAGGCCAGACACAGTGGTATTCAAAACAAGTTATAATTATTTTGAACCACCTTATTTTTCAGATGGCACCTGGTCCTCTGAGCAGAAACCAGCTAATGTGCCCTTTTATGTAGTTCAGGATAAAAAGTAAGGTTCAAATTTAAAAATAATAATAATAATAAAATATATATATAAATTGTGAGTATATAAAAATATCTTAAGAACAGAGCATTAAGTTTTTGATTTAAACAGAAAAAAGTTTGAGGGACTAGCTGCAACACACATCAGCAATAAATATTTTCCCTTACAAATTATTATAGTTGATACTCTGATGTTTAGAATGATATCTGAGTGTTGCATAATCTAACATTTGCTTCACAGTGTCATTATTCATTGCAATAAACTTGCATCTGACATGTGGTATGACTCAACCCAAAGGTCATGTTCAAGAAGTGTTTTTTAGTGTTTGAGTTGCTTTTATGTTATATTTTATTGCATACTTTTGGCTTGTAGTCTAGTAACATGCAGGCTGTTTAACCTTATGGCAGTACTTGGAAATAAAGATGCTGCTTGTTCAGGGTCCTGTTCAATGTGAAAAGGTTACGTTCATCTGTCTGAACTCTGTCATCCTGTTTTGTGACTAAAAGGGTTATGGAAACCAGGAATTTGTGACTTTGTATATACCATGAAACTCTACTTTAAAGGAATTAATGAAAGATAAATCAGAAATGAATGACTTGTTCATGTTTTTACCATTCTGAAGGTGTGTGAAACAACAATGAAATACTATAAAGCTCTAGTGTGGAAGGGCTGAGTGAGATTCCTCAGACAGGAAGCTTTGTGTTACTCCACAAAGTTGAGCAAACAGAAATAAAATCCAAATGGTCTGTGTCAGTGAACATTGAAATAGTACTGGAATGTTGTTCTATTCAATTCCAATTAGCATTGTCAGGATTTGTACTGGAAAATCTGTTTTTATCTGTAATGAGAGTCTCATCCTTATGTTCTGTGTTGCATCTTCCACTTCAGTAGGGATTGGTCATCCTTATGAGTTCTGTTCTAGTTTCTGGTTAGTCTTGAATTCACTAACTTTTGGCATTGTCTGCAAAGATTAATTTCAAGTGAGGGCTTAGTATTCCTCTTAAAATTAATAAGCTTTTTTCCTGCCAAACTGAGAGACTGGGACAGAAATAAAAAAGCTTCTTTATATACAAAATGTGTGTGTCTACACGAGAGAAGTTAGGTGTAGTTCTGCTGCTGCTGACCTTATACTCGAAAAGAAAGGAAGATCCACGTGGCAGATGATTAGTGATTGATTAATTATCTTTATGCTGGGCCTGTTCCTTGGTGAACTGTGTGTTTAGGAAATAACGTAGACCACTGACCTGTTAATTTGAAGAAAGACCAAAATTTTGATTGGGATCTTTGGCTACATTTTGAGTGATTGTCATGGCTTGAAATACGCTTTTTAAGTGATTAAATAAGTTACTATTCACTATTGTTTATGGTTTCTTAAATTTATAATCTTGCTTAGACTCATCTTAATCTGATGTTTTGGGGAAAAATATGGTTCAAAGCTGTTAGCTTCTTGACTTTAGCTGTACTTAAGGAATATTAACGGGTTGTAGTAACCTTCATTTTTAGGGGATGACTAACTTGATGAATGAGAACTCTGTGACTATAATGTGTTTTCAGCTCTTGGCCTCTAGTATGAGACACTTCAAAAAGAGATCTGAGAGCAAGTTAGACATCGGGACCAATTACACCAGTTCTTCATGTAGGCCAGAACATTAATGGCAATAACTTTTGGTCACCATTGGTGTGGATTTGAGAATAACTTTTTATCTCTAGCAAATCTTGTGAGCCTATTAGTTATGCTAAAATTTAAACTAGTTTATGGAGAGTACAAAGAAAACTGGAAGGGCTCACAAGAACTTAAGAAATGTTGACTGTAACTCGAACCTGACTGTTTCATTCTGTGCCACAACTAGAATTTCCACAATCTCTGTTTTTAGAGGATTACCCCAATGGGACATGGCTTGGAGATGAAAATAATCCTGAGATGCGAGTCCGTTGCCCCATCACCCCTGCTGACATGCTGCACATCAGCACCAACTGCCGCACAGCCGAGAAGATGGCACTGACATTGCTTGATTATCTCTTCCATCGGGAAATTCAAGCCATCTCCAACCTTTCTGGCCAGGGGAAGCATGGGAAGAAGCAACTTGATCCTCTCATGATTTATGGAATTCGCTGTGAGTATAGTACTGAAACTTTTGAATTTATTCTGTGGAGATATGTGGAGGTGAGACAGAAACTGTCTACTACTTGCAGTTAAACTGCCTTTTTTAAGAATGGGGTATGTATTGGTGTTGCCAGACAGATGTTTTGATAGCTTTTGTTTATGAAGGAATCCTAATGGACTGGTTTAATTTAGTTTGTTGTGGGTGTTCACCAGAAATTCTTCAATCTTGAAATCTGAATTCAGATTTCTTTGCAGCTACCAGCTGTGAGCGCACCAAGTGTAGTTACTATCAGAGAAATATTACTTTCTCAGATGATGGAACAAATAATAAATTACACACATTTAAATTTTGTTCAAGTGTTCAAAACAGTATGGTCTTGAATCTTAGTTTTTTACTTCCTATTTATGTGTATTATTTCAAAAGATTTGGCTGCATTCAGATGGAAGAAATTTGCAATCTCTACTAAAGGAGAGATTAAGTATCATAAAGTCTGGATTCGTAACAGGAATGTGTGTGATGCTAATGTACTTCTGTCTGCTCGGGTGTGCTTGAGTCTTTCAGTTATTAAAGCAATTTTGCAGTAATGAACAGATATTACTTTTATCAAAGATGCAATTTAAAAGGAATCAAAAGTGTTTTGCCTATAAAATATAGTATGCATAGCCACTAGCTTTAAGTGAAAAGAAGAATCTGGACGTGTGCATCTTGTTCACGTAGAGCAAGGGCATATAGAGAAAAGTAGGTGTAGCCACTGGTTTTGAGTGAAGAAGAATCTAGACATGTGCATCTTGCTAAAATACGCTGACTTCTAGTAGGAAATTACACAGTGAATACTTGGAGGACAGCCACGTCTGTTCCATGCCCTGTGGTGTAAATATTTTCTAGCAGAGGAGATGGGCAAAGGCCTCTCAAACAACCAAGCATCTGACACAAGTGTTACAGCTCTTGTGTGATACCTTCGCTATGCTTATAAAGAGGAAACACGTTTAAAAGTTAGCACAGAATCAAGAGAGAGTCTAAAAATGACCAACTTGAGTGATTGACTAGATTTTAATGTACCAGTAGATCTCGCTGTTAAAAGATTCTTTATAGTCACATCTTATGTAGGTCACCAATGGATTAGTTGAGTGGGAGTAATTTGTTATACTAGAGTGTTTTGTATGCAGTTGCCAAATTGAAATGCCAGTTAAGGCTTAAGAACGTAGCCAGAGAGAGCTTATTTTCAATAGTGTTTGAAGAATTTGATGTTTTGTTTTATGCTTCTGTTAGGGCAATGCGATAGTTACGTGGAAGAAAATGTGAAGAATATTTGATGATGAGACTGCTGTGTTTTCTTTACACTGAACTGAGCTGAGGAAAAACAGTCCTATTGATCTGCTTTTGTTTCTAGTAATTTACTGGCTATCTGGGGGAAATTAATAGGCAAAACTAACAAATTCAGCTTGCTGCATTAGGTCAATTTTTGTCTCGTTACATACCCAAAGCAGAAGACTTTGTGGTTCTACTGCAAATATACTAAATATGTATTTTTAAGGGAGATTATGATTCAAAGTAATTTTGATCTCCCAAAGCTATTGATCTCATCAATGTATATGACCTTCTTCTATTGTGTTTTTAAATCTTAGATAGATTTTTTTTTTTGTTGACAATAGTTTCTAGAACCATGAAGAAATGAACAGCCTTCTTCCCTTGTTCCAATGTCAGAGCAAATCACTAGCAACCCTTTTCCCCATCCCTTAAATCTGTTGAGCGCAAATCAAATGAGTGAGTTGATAACTGTTTGTGTAGGAAGAAGAGGTTTTAGAAAATGTGAGTATGGGGAAGGAATGTGCTCATGTGACTGAATGCTCAAGCTAGGGATTATGTCATTTCTATGAGGCATTCTGACCGTGAAGAAATTGGATCATAGAAGTGATCCCTGCAGCTGGAAAAGGTCTGCGATGGCAGAAATGTAACAGCAGTGGATCAGAAGCAGCAGTGTTCTGAATGATGGGCACAGGAACTGCTGTCTGTGTCTTGCCATAAGCATGATCTGGAAGATTTGAGATCCAGGTATCTGAAACATAACTTTATTTCTTCTTCACATTGACTAGTGTGTTGCTGTCTTTTGAGAACCAGTCCAGAACAAACCAGGGATTGTGTATACCTTCTGGAAAAGTGAATCCAACCAGAGTTTGCTTTTTTGGGTACCTAAATATTAATGGTTATTGAGATTTGCCCAAGGAAGTTGTGGATGCCCCCTCCCTGGAAGTATTTAAGGCCAGGCTGGATGAGGCTTTGAGCAACCTGGTCTAGTGGAAGGTGTCCCTGCTGATGGCAGGGGGGTTGGGACTGGATGATCTTTAAGGTCTCTTCCTTAAAGTCTATGATTTGCTGTCAGCAATGACAAAGAATCCATGCTGTGGCAACAAATGAAGAAAATGCGTGTGAACCTGATGAAGTGGCAAAATTAATAGTAACAACATTGGTCCAGAAATGGTGACTTCATGTGATAACCTAGTATGTCATCATTGTGAATAATTAAGTTGAAATGAAATTTGATTTCAGTAGCCTAAATTTGCTATGATGTGAATGAGCATATGCAGAACTCATGACTTTCAAGGATGAGACTCTGACCATGGTGAGTTCAGTGGCAGAACTCCTGTTGGGTTCAGCTGCGCCACGATTTCATCCCTAATATTTAGCAGAGAGGTGCTGGGAGGAGCCCTGCCATACCCAGGGCTGTTGCTTTACCAGTCCACAGACCATCTGGTTTTTACTGGTGAAGTGTTGTTCCGTAAAAACTACCAAAAACTGAGCGCAGTGCTAGCATGGGAACTAAATTAGGTTGTTGTTCTAATACTGTGGTTTGCTTCTGCTCTGAGCAGTAATACGTTGATGCATTATTTGAAACTTAAATGAAAAATCTAATGTCATCAGCCTTGCATTTGCCAATCACAGCTAGAAAAGCTCAAGCCAATATAAAGACTTTTATTTTTCCTTTAGTTTCAAGTTTCTTCAAGTTTGTCAGTGGAAAGATATTCCTTCCTTTTTCTAGAAGAAAAAGAAAACACCAACCAAATCTGTATTTAATAAAGAGAATATTTTGTATAATATGCAGAAACTATAGAAAATTAAGAGATGTATGTTTATTAAAAATTCTTGATATACTACATAAGGTTTACCGCAAGAGAGATGAAAGTTTATCTTTGGAAGTATAAATTTTCACTTGTGGTATAAATTGGCTTGTGGGGTGGCAGTGGTACTGAAGAGAGTTTTTGGGCAAGAAACCAAAATGACTTAAACACACTATATGTCATTAAGTAGCTCATTACTTCAGCCCTCCTAAAAATGTAGACATTTTCTGGTGAAATATGATATAAGAACATCCGCAGTTGTAATTTTCTTTGTGTAACAGAAAATACAGGTTTAGCTCTTTTGAGATTTTATAGCCATCTCCACAGATGAGTTTGAAAAAACAGATTTCCAAATTCAGGGTTTTGCCTTTACCAGAAACTTTATAACACAAAGGATGGTTTTATGTATCGTCTTGGAAACTATTGAGAGGGGATTTCTGAAGTTCATAAAAGAAAAGTTATCAATAGTTCTTATTCTTTAAAATAATCTGAGTCATTAAATGAAAACAAAATAACCTTAGTTATTTCCTGTGTGTGTAACTTCATTAGTGTGTAATTTCTGTGCAAGCCTCTTGCATCTGCAGATGTGTCTTTGCCGGCTCTTGCCAATCATTTTTTAACATATTTGCCAGTTTTGTCTGATTATGACATGAGAATAGAAGATCAGTACCTACAAATTAAATGCAGAGCAAGTGGTTGGTCAGAGGAAGGAGATACAAATTCACTAATTGCATTAAGGGGAACCTGTGCCCTTAGTTGGGTTGTATTATTGAACACCAGAAATCTTTTTGGCTCCATCCAGTCGTCTATTGATCAGGGAACTATTTTTGCACATTGGAATAACTCTCATCCCTGTCATTTAAATAACAGAGCAGAAAAGTGTTATCTGAAAGTACTTCATGATAGAGCCTGTTTTTTAACTATGTGGTAAATGGTGTGTATTCTGTTTCAAATGGCACATAACTCTACTTTTTAAGATGCAATTAAAAATGTAGAATGGAAAGAAATCGGTAATAAATCTTGGGGTTTCTATTGTGTGAAAATATTGCTGCTAGTAAAGATGGGACCCCTTTTCTACTCTGCTAGTTGAAAGAGATGTTAGTAGATTTGGATAGAAGAATGAAACAGAGCTGTGTCCTCTTCAAAGGGCTGTTCAAATAGTATTAAGCTTTACAAAATTAATTGACACAATAGTGCTTGAGAAGCAAGTTTAATAGGCAGCACCTTTGACTCCTGCATGTCAGTTAGATCAGTGTATGTATTTATGGAGATGGATATTCCTGCACATAACCCAAAAATAATGCAGGTTGGGCCAGTTAAGGCAACTTGTGACTTGTCAGATTGCTGTAAATCACGACTGTTTCAGCTTCTCATTTGCTTTTAATGAAGATTTTGATCTTAATAGCAATGCAAGATAAACAAGTGTACCACACTTCTCTTTCCTAAGCATTCTCATGCTTTTAAATACTGGAGGAAGGAGAGTAAGCTGCTTCTCATAGACCAACAGTTAGCTCTAGTGTTTCTCACCAGTGGATGTGTTTTAGGAGATACTGCAGACTGTTGCTATTAAATAGAATGTTTAATATAAATAATCATTACAGTTACTGAAGATGTATACAATAAATACAGAATCTATTTAGTATTTTCTATTTATTCATTTTTCCCCTTTAAAAAAGCCTTTTTTAGTGCTGTATTTTTATCAACTATACCTTTTTTTCCTTTTATATCCTTTTCTCCACCCTAATCTGTATACTTATTTTGCACTCTCTCTGTCTTCTTTTCATTTCCTCTTTATAATTCTGTGCTTTGTGTGTCTCATTTCTGAATATCATACTGGTCACTAACTGCCAGAGTGTATAGCATGTATACGGTGGTTTAAAAACAGTGTTACAC